CTCCTTCCTTAGTAGCTTTCTGTGTGTTTACTCGAACTCAGTGAGCTACTTGAAAGAATTTAAGCCTCCCAGAAGAGAACAAATCATCTGGTAGCTGCTGAGTTCTTGCTGGTCGGTGGCCCAGGCTGTCTTCTCACGGGCTTCCTTGGAGCGTGTCTCCTTGCTCTCATGGCTTGATACTTAGCAGAACCCGAGTTTTATTACCGTGAAGGGAACTGACGACTCCTGTGTTTTGTCTCCACTGCTTTTAGGGTACAGTCCAAAGTTCTTACCCCAGCAATATTCACCACCCAGTAGGGGCCACCCACAGGACATCTCTATTTCAATTCCTGATTGCCTCTTGCTCTAGCTATATTAATGAACATTCTCTCAGATCTTCAAGGACTCCTTCCCTTTTTTTAGTATTAGGGGCACCCCAGATCCCCCAGGCCACTTTTAGTTTCCTTACTTCACTGCACTTTTAGTTCCTTACTTCACTGCATACTCTGAGTTTCTCCTTAGCACTTAATAAAAAACCATGTAACAACTTTATTCTAGTCTGTAAGCTTCAAGAGAGCCAGGGGCCCATCTGTCTCATGTATCAAAGTACCCAAAGCGCCTGACACAGGAATGTAGGGACAAATTAAAAACGGAAAAGAAGCTAATTCTCCCTGTTGAAAATAAGGGAGAGATTCCCTTCTGCTTTTTATGTATTCATTTTAGGACATGTGTATTTTCTCTTCCCTGAAACATAAAACCTTTGAAAACTGGATCAGCCTTTGTCAGTTTTATGACCCAGGAATGGTTTTCTCTAGGCCTTCCCTTTGAAATGCTGACATCAAGGGAAATTGTGCCCATCCATCTCCATCTTCCCTTCAGTGGGTAAAAAGGAGCCTATCTTCAGAGATACTTTACTCTTGATTACAAAACTACCTTCAGTCAAAGATTTGAGAAGTTTCTTTCTCCTCTAGATAAAGCCAATTAGCTAACAGTTACCAACTGAATCTGTGTGTGCAAATTGTGCTGTCAGGTCCTCCTACTTCAGGCCTGTTTATTTCAAGAACATAAAAGTAATAGATTGAAGTTACTTGCTCTATGAGAGGGTGAGAGCACTATGTCTTTGCAATCTCTTGTTTGCCCATGAAATTCATTACATCTTGCTTAGTGATTATCAGCAATAAAATTGGTTTTTTTCTCTACTATTGTAGAAATGTTTTCTGGGTTGGGATTTTTTTTTTTTTTGGCCAAAAGAGGCAATCAAAATATTTGTCTCAGGTATGAATTAGTTGCTGTGCTCAATGGAATTAGAAATACACTGAGTAATATTTTCTAATATTGTATTAATAAAATCCGTATGAAAGAGTCCCTTCTTAAACCAGGCCATTACTTGATTCCTGTAGCATTACAAATATAATAATAATCACTAACATCTCCTAAGTTTCTACCTTTACACTTTATCCACCAAACCTTAAGAGGTCATGGAAGGGCCCTCTCTGGTAGTGCAATGGGTTAAAGCACAGCATTACAAATCTAGCCACAAAAGCTTCAGGGAGTCTATCTTCCCCCTCCCTCCCCAGGGAGCTGACCCACGTGGTGCAGCAGACCTCTCCTGTCTTGCCCGCTGCTCCCCTCAGCAGTACTTTGTCAATCTGCCTGTTCTGTTCCCGGGTCTGTCTCTTGTGAATCCTCTCACCACCCCTGCACCTCTGGCCTGTATGACAGTTCTATATGCATAAATAATCTTTAAAGAAAAAAAAGGTCATGGCAGACTAAACAGACATAAAACAAAAACATTTCTAGATGCATGAACCAACACCTAGAGTCAATTTTATTTATATATAATGTTCTGAATATATACATATATGTGCCATTCAATAAAACAATATTATAGCCACTTTGATTTAGTCACTTAAAATTCATGTGTCAAACCACTCATGTCTCAAATTCATGTGTCTATCTTACTTGTGAGAACAATAACTGCCCTCACCTCACAAAAAAGATTTTTCAAAATACAGTAATTAGTTGTACTACAAGCACTTGGTATGATCTCAGGTTTGGTAGTATCCAGAAGTTTTTACAGGGGTTTGGGCCTGCGAATCCTGAGGCCTATCCAGCCTCCATTTTATTACCTGCAGTTCTGTATTCCTAATGCAAGGTCAGAACTGCCTGGTGATAGCAGTCCAACCCTACAAGTGACTTTCACATCAATTAAGAGCATAAAGCTGGATCACTCTGAGAAGGGAGAGCATCACGAGCAATGACTGGGAACACCCGGGGGCTGAGGACAGATACATAAACTTACTCCTGACTTACACATCACAAGGTATGACCTGGAAGGTCGGGAATCAGGGCTGGATCCACATACCAAGCTATCAGCAGATGAGAAATACAGTTCCATCATTTCCCCCCTCTTCCTACTTCTCCCTTTCCTTTTCTACTTCCTCATATGACTAATGCTGGATGTTGTTCTTGAGAGCATCCTGCATTTTGTAGCCTGCTCCACAATTCCCATTTCTATATCAGTGTGGCAACACAGGGGTTCCTCAAAGAACCTCTTTTTCTAACTACATGTCTGTAAGGCCAGGTCTTTTTGTGAGTCAGTGAGAACATATGGCAACAAATTAAATGCAGAAGCAGAAATGAGACTCTAGCTGTCTTCTATTGATTTTCTAAAGAGATTTATAAAATATGTGAAATAACATTAATCCTTTTTTGGAAAAAATTTTGTTGAAGATTTATTATTTATGCATACAGAACTAGGGAACAGGCCAGAGGTGCAGGACTGGTGATAGGCGTCACCAGAGACAGAGTGGGGAGCAGAACAGGCAAATCAAAGAAGCACACTGCTGAGGCGAGCAGCAGGCTGGTCAAGGAGAAGTCTGCCACGCCATGTGGGTCACCTCCCTGGCCAGGAGATGGAAATCATGGTAAAGAGCTTCATGGTGCTGCACTTTAACTCACTGCACCACCAGGGAGGGCACCATTTATTTTTTTGAAATTTTTTATTTAGGAATTGTTACTATTTCATTTAAAATATTGTTAGCACAATGTTATTTTGAAGTGAATTAATAAAAAAGTTCAAACTATTTCAAAATTGGCTAAATATAGTGTTTTGCTTCTACTGTAATAGATAGCAATGGATAAAATCCACATAAACAAAATTCTTTGAGAATTTTTAAGAATGTGGGGTCCTGGTCCTTTAGTAAGAAAACTATTATACTAAAGAATCTCTGATAATGACTGGCATACAATCAATAACTTCATAAAAGTAATGAAAAAAACTTTTGAGATTAATCACTTTTCAGAAAAACCTTTTAATTTTTACCTAAGTTGTATAGAATTAAAAAAAAATCCTAATGTCTTTTTTACTCTTAGGACCTATTATTTAGGTGATACTGATACTCATGCATTTATATTTTTCTCATTTAAACTCTGTTATGACAAAAACAACAAAACCCAAACATTTATCACAAATAAATCACTGCACAACTTTTATCAAATTTAAAAAGATCTTTAAGATTCTATTCATAAAGAAAATTAACATTTACAAATCATTTAAAATTAAATGACTGATAATGGTACAAAGCTTTCTACCCACCCTGAATTTCAGCACAAAAATTTTGCTGAGAAAAATATTCTTTCAAAATTTCCAGTTTCCATTCCAGAGTGCAAGGAGTTTAGTAGTTGCCATTCCATCCTAACACATAAAAAGCTGTACAAGCCAAAGAATCAACAACTACTCTAAGACCCATAAAAGAAGACTACTCCCCAAATTAGAGAGAGAGGTCCACACAGAAGAACAATTTATCAAAGCTGAAATCTCCATGGGAACCAGAACAAGGGTTGGAAAACTTACATGGTAATTGATGGCTTGCTGGGGACTCAATGTGGACAAGTCTGAGAGTCAAAAAGTTCTCTAAAAGACTCAGTAATAGAAGCCCCCACACTTTTGTAATTTTTACCTCCAGGAACTTTACCAGTGATCATTAGAGGAAAAAATCTCTTTGTGCAAGGAGAGGGAGAAGAAGAAACCATTTTGGATACACGCCACAGCATTTTATTGTTAACATGGTCCGCCCTGAGGAGAAACTATATTATCAGATCCTAGCCAGCTGAAGTTTTAATCATCACCTAACCTACCTGGAGGAGGGAAATGTCAAATCCCAGTTTCCTTTTCAGTTCTTCTCAGAAGGGAAAAAACTGAGAAGCACTGCTGAAGTTCACAGTCCAGTAGTCAGGAGCACCAGAAAACTGAGACCAAACCATGGGGCACTAGAACACTTCCCTCCATCCACCCCTGGACAGTACTAAAGGCCAATTTACTGAAGTTCTTTTCATCTAGAACACAGAGGATCACAAACCTAGACAATTTCCACAAAAAACTACAAAGCACACTGAAAGGCAAAAAAAAAAAAAGTTTGAAGAGACTTGAGCAAACATCAGAAACAGCAACATTCCAGGTGTGTTGGATACCTGAAGTTCATGGTAATAAAATAATTACTTCCACTGAAATATTGTTTATACAAGCAATTCTAATATCTGGTTCACATTAACAAAACTAGGAAAATATACTTTATATGATAAATAATTTAAAACAACTCTGATTAATATACTAAGGGCTGTGTGGAAAAGTAATAACATTCAAGAACTAATAATGAAAGAAAAGAAATGGAAATACGAAGAATAAAAGAAATGCTAAAGATCAAAAAGACAGTGACAGAAATGAATGTCTTTCAAGGGACTCATTAGTAAAGAGTATATAACTGAGGTGGGGATCTAAGATCTTGAAGATATAACATTAGAAGCTTCCCAAAAGGGCCCTCCCCTGTGGCACAACAGGTTAAAGTGCAGCACTATAAAGCTATTTGCAGCCACTGCAGTCACTGCAGCACCAGTTTGATCCCAGGGCAGGGCAGCAGACCTCTCCTGACCCGCCCGCTGCTCCCCTCAGCAGTGTACTTTGTCAGCCTGCTTGTTCTGTTCCCCACTCTGTCCCTGGTGAATCCTCTCACCTCCCCTGCACGTCTAGCTTGTACCCCAGTTCTGTATGCATAAATAAGTAAATCTTTAAAAAAAAAAAGCTGAAAGTTAACATTATACTCAATGATGAGAAACTTGAAGCTTTCCCAGTAAGATCAGAAGGACAAGGATGTCCTCTATCACCCCTACCTTGCAACATCCTACCAGATATACCAACAAATACAATAAGACAAGAAAGTAAAATATATAAATATCACAGAAGAAGAAACTAAATTGTCTTTGTTCATAGATGACATAATTATCATGTAGAAATGTAGAAAATCTGAAATAATTAATGTGGTGGAAACAGGCAATAGAATACTATTTATTGAATAAAAGAAATGAACTATCTTTCAAGCCACAGAAAGACGTGGAAAATTTAAAAGCATGTTACACCTGAAATAAACCAATCTAAAAAAAATAATAAACCAATCATACATACTGTATGATTCCAACCATGTGACATTCTGGAAGAAGCAAAACAATAAACAGAGTAAAAAGACCAGTAGTCAACAGACCTTATGGACAGAGGCAGAAATGAACAGGCAAAGTACAAAGCATTTTTAGGGAAGTGAAACTATTTTCTATGATGCTGTAATGTGGATACCTGTTATCATATTTGTCTAAATCCATAGAAAGTCCACCACCAATGTAAACTATGAACTTTGGATGTGTCAAAGATAGACAGCGCTGGTTGCTATAGTAAAATACTTTTCCTGGGCAGCTGAAACAACAAACATGTATGTCTCACAGTTGTGGAGGCTAGAAAATCCTAGGTCAAGGTGCTGGTAGATTTGCTTCTAGGTGAGCGCCCTCTTCCTAACTTGCAGTCTGCCATATTCCCAAAGTATCCTCATGGAGCAAAAAGAAGCGGGGACAGAAAGCTCTGGTCTTTTCCTCTTGAAAAGAGACTAAACCCTATGATTAAAAAATGTCCTTGTACCTACAAGATGGACTACATGAAAAATTCATCAAACTGGAAATTCCAACATAATTACATTCATACAATGGAAAAATAGCCCATCCCCAATAAAAATTAGGCAGGGGGCATTATTTGTTTCTTAAAATTGCTTCTTTTCCTTCAAAATGTTCTGAATCAAAATTTTCACTTGTCAGAAATATTACTACTCTAAAAATTTCCCTACCTTACTGAGTTTATTTTGTATTCCTCTCTCTCACACATATATACATATAAATAAATAATGATTTGGTAAAAACATCACTTTGTATCTAGGCTGACAATATAAAGTTCTAAAGACTATTTCAAGCTTTTGTTAAGAAGCTCATTTTTAAAAGAAGCTAATTATCTTAAAAAGATGTTTGTGCAAAGACACTATTTGAAAATAGGTTCACAAATTTTGATGTGCTATTTATTTACTATATCATTTGTATAATGATATAGTAAAAGATGCCTTCCTGACAACTGGAAGAATATCCTGACAGTCCTAAGAAATTCCAGAATTAAACTGGAAACCTATCATATGGGTCACTTGAAAAAAAAAAAAAACAAAACCATCAAACCTTCTAGAAACATATTCCAAACAGAGAGCCTGTGATGGAGAATTCAGAGATAAAGTTATGAGGCTGTCCTTTTTGGGCTGCAGAGGTGAACAGCACAGAAACTGGCAGTACATCATCAGTTGGTGAGAGTGCGGAATGAATACTGTTTGACTAGAGAATTTCAAAACTGGCTCCCAGAACTTCCACATTTCCTCAGAGCATGGCTTTCTTGGTTTTACTGAAGTTTTGAAATTGAAGGTAAAGATCAGAATTCTCTGTCACTTCTGTGGGGCTACCTTTTGAAGCAGCATAATATAAAGAATAGATAAGTCGTTTTAAAAGTCTTCATTCCACTCAGTGTTATTCATGTCTATGTACGTTTTGATAATTTTTTCTTTAAATATAAAAAGCTGATACCTGAAGTTCATAGTAATAAAATAATTACTTCCACTGAAATATTGTTTATACAAGCAATTCCAATATCTGGTTCACATTAACAAAACTAGGAAAATATACTTTATATGATAAATAAAATATAAACACAAAATATTTCATACATAAATAAGAACTGTACACATCCCAAATACAATACATATAGGAAATATATCTAAAATTTAATGAGCTACTACAAACAACTATAGTTTTCATTATAAATCACACAAATATTTCACTATAGAAATAAATTTTCTCTAACATTTTAGATTTCAGAAATACCATGTTTTGTGGTATTGTAGAGAATGATTTTACATACTGAATTTTTTTAGTCATTCAATGTCATTAGAAATTCAGTGGAAGATTATGACTGGTATTATGAACAATTTCTCAATTATGGCGAAAGTACCATTTTATGGATTTTGAAGACATCGTATTCTATTTCTGGATAAGTGGTAATAAAGAATAGAAATGAAATTAAGATTTTCAATGTCCCAAATCTTGTCCAACAACTCTATAGAATGGTATGGGCCAAATACAAGGGTTTCCATAAAAGCAAAAAAGTAGGTAACATCCCGTTTTATTATGAAAATTGCTTTAGAAGCACTCCTCAGAGCAAAATGCATTTTAATAGTTTCAAAAGTTAATAAATATACTGTTTCCCACTATTTCAAAAATTGTATGATAAACTTCTTTAGACGGTTTAAAACATGGTCTTTAGATATAACAAGGAAAAACTAATCTTAGGAGTAATGAAAAGACAACTGAATAGGCATTGCCCTATTCAAATAAAGGTGAAGAAAAGTCATGAGGTAAGTGCTAGAGTACAGGAATTCAATATTTAGTACAAAATCAATGTTTGCTTATAATTTTTGGTGGACTGCATAAGTTATCTGAGAAGTTATTTAAGTAACTGAGTTACTGAAAGAGAAGCTTAACTAACTTTAAAGTGACGAGAAAATCTATTGTTTCTGAAAGTTGACAGTTTTTATTTGAAATTTATTCTCCTCAAAAATGTGTTATTTTTCCAGGAAAGAATAAACACTGAGTTAAAATATGTATAACTATATACTTACTTTAAGAATGTGGTTTTTTGGCAGCTTATAAGAAAAATACAAATACAAATATAAATTAATCTGCCATTAACATCTTATTTCCATATATTCTATCCATATAGTCACTGAGTATATTTGTTTCAAATTTTATCTTCTAAATAAAGCCTCCAATTTGGGGGGGGGTGTAAAATATACAATCTGTTTAAAATGTTTAAACATATTGCATATATATAGAGAACATACAACTTAATTGCTACTAATCCAGTGGTGGTTATTTTCTGTTTCTTCATTTTGTGTTCTTTGTTCCTCTCGGTGATTAGCTGCAGTCCAAAATGTTATCTTTTTTAGCACTTGTTGCAGAAGTTTAGGAGGTAATAAAGGTATCTGACTTTCTAAAATCACAGCATTTTTACCAATACAGTCAAGACATGACCTGTAAACAAAACATAGCAGAATTATTAATTCTTGAGCCAGAAGTAATAATATACTTATAGGCTGTATGACTGGAACTTTACATAGTATGTATTCTTTCTAGAGCAGAAAGTAAGCTGCTACTCTTATAACAGAAACACAATGTAAAGTGATATTATAACATACCATACTGAATGTTCTTTACAAAAGAACCTGACTTCAAAGCAGGTTGATCTTTAACAACCCTTTTCCATAAATCCTTCCAGCCCAGTAACCATTTTCTCTATTTTGAGAACTTTTTCCTCCATCACCCCAAGAGGAAGCATCTAACATTCACTTGTATACAATATGCCCCCCTGCATCTGTCTGTGTAGTGACTAGACTGCCCTGCACACTAACTTAGACCGGGAGATGCAGGCTGGGCCTTCGAGGGAACAGCAGTCCAGAGGAACCAACATGAGACTCCCTCAGTCTCCTCACAGGGAACCTTGGTGTTCCATTTCCCGTTTTGATTCCGCCAGAAAGTAGTGTCCTTCTGAATATAATTCCTTTATAATTTAAGCTACTTGAAGAGGGTTTAATACTCAAAAAACAAACAAACAAAAAAATCCCCGCCAAATTTGGTCAAGATAAGAACTAACACAGAAGTATCTATTCCAACAGACAAACTTTCAATCAGAGGTAAGGAAATCTTTTTTTAATACTTAAGTTCTTTGAGGAACCATGTTTTTCATTCCTTTTTGTTTCTTCTTACTGTGTCTCGACACAGTAAGTACTAAATGCTTTCTGACTAAAAGTTTGAAATAAAATAGCATGCTGGTGCCACTGTGGCCAGCTGGTTGTAGCAAACATGACTCACATTCCTACTACTGAATTCCTGTGATGTTCAAGTCATAATACCTGGAAAATATGACAAAGCTTCCCAATGAAGAAATAATCATACACTAATAGCACATATGCATAAAAGAAAGAAAGTGCTTACCTGAGTAGTGAATATGGTTGTATTTGAAAGATCAATAAATCATTACAGTGACCCTGATCAACATAAAAAAAGGGGTTATGAAAGTCTGCGGTCAAAATAACAATTCATTACTCATCGAATATTTTATTCTGTAAGTGTTAAATCATTCAAAGCAGCAAACAGATCTATCTAGCTACACACACAGAGACACACACACATTTGCTATCCACATAAACTTTAGATAGGCGGTTACTATTTTTCAATGACCACTGGCTACATAATTACAAGAAAAAACCCAGAAACATGTTTGTCTCTTAGAACAGATAGTATCCAGATTTCCTATGACTTGTTAATTTGGGAATCAAAGAGCCAGCTTTTTTTCAATAAATGATTCCTCTAAAGTTAGTGACTCAACAAAAAAATTCTCTAATCCTTTCAAATAAGTCTTGAGAATTTCATAATTTATTATCATGATTTTAATTAGAACTTTTATTGTGGGAAACTTTGTATCCTAGCTAAAAGGTTCTATTCCAGAAAAGGAAGACAAACATTAACCTTTGCTTTTAATTAAATGTAAAGTTGTGGGCCCTCCCTAGTGGCACAGCGGGTTAAAGCACAGCACTGAGAAGCTAAAGCCACTTCCGCATGGGTTCGATTCCCGCCTGCCCCAGAGGTGACCACATGGCGGGGCAGACCTCTCCTGACCCGCCTGCTGCTCCCCTCAGCAGTGTACTTCGTCTATCTGCCTGTTCTGCTTCCCACTCTGTCTCTGGTGAAGCCTCTCACCGCCCCTGAGCCTCTGGCCTATACTGGAGTGTGTACTCTGTATGCACAAATAAATAAATCTTAAAAAAAAATGTAAAGTTGTGATTTTAATCTTTGGTGGAAGTGCTGAATTCTCAACCAAAAAAAGTTCTAAAAATCTTTCTATGTTTAGAACTCATATAAAAATAAACCAAATTCCCTGGAGTGAGGCCTCACAGATCAGGGTTCCCTCCCTGGTAGGAACAACTCTGGAGATAATTACTCCTGAAGATGAATGGAGCCCATGCCCTTATAGTATGACTGTGCATTGTACCCCACCCCTGCAGACTGCTGCTATACCCAAAAGTCCCCAAAAACCGGAGCAGCCACTCCTGAGCCCCTCAAACTGACAGACGCCAAGTGCCTATGGCCGCCCAGTATGAATTTTCAAGGTTTTAGTGACCAAAACATTACTCTACAAATGCTCTTGGTTTATTCCCTTGATCTTCACTAACCAAACTGTTACTTTTTAAACTTGGGATGCTTTAAATTCAAATGTCAAACAGGTGAAGCAGTGTCAAATGATGCATTAAAAAAAAAAAAGGAAGTACACTTTAAATATTTCAAACAAGTTCCTCTTGAAGGGAGAAGATAACATTGATGATAGTCTAGGTTAAGTTAGGTAGCAAATTTCTTGGATACTTATACTTTGTAGCTTATATAGCACATGATATAATATCATATATTACTTACAAATATTTTAATTCAATAAAATTATAAATACCCACACCATGGGGAGGCTCAAAGAGAAAGAGTTATCCTTTAAAAGCTCATCATCATAATTTGACTAATGAAGTTGATAATCTATTGTGGTTTTGTGATACTGTGAATTATAACAAAAAATATGTACTTGGTCCCTGTTTACCATTGAACTTCTAAAACCCTTGGTATTTCCTCACTAGTCAGAAACAAAGGTCTTTTGTTACATTAATGACTTTTTAAAAGTCCTTAGGTCACCTGAATAAGGGGGTTGGTTGCCAGAAAAACCAAGGAGGTGAATTTTTCTAGTTGGAACCTTGAGTCCCCCATATTCCCCAACTCCTGGAAGGAAAAGGGAATGGAGATGGAGTTCACTGATGGCTCCTGACTTAACCAACTGTGAATATGTAAAAAAGCCTCCACAAACCTACACAAGGGCAGGGCTTGAAGCACTTATATGTGCACTAATAGCACTTGGGGTACAGTGGGCACCCCATGGAACATGGAAGCGCCCTCCTCTCGCGTACACCTTGCCCTGTGCATCTCTTCATCTAGCTGCTCTGGAATCACAACCTTTTGGAAATCAATGAGTAAAGTGTTTCTCCCAGTTCTGTGAGTGGCTCTAGCCAAACAGTGGGGGGCCACTGCACCCTCCAATGTATGTCCAGTCAGACTTGCAACTGGTGTCTAAAGTGGAGGTGTGTCAACCTGTAGGATATGGCACTACCTCTGGGAAGACAATGCCAGAATTGAGTTAAATTGTGGGTCACCCACCTGGAAATTGGAGAATTGCTTATTGGTGTTGATAACCAGAATCCAAAATATCCTGAAATGCTTAACAACAGCTATTCTACCTGAAGATTAGTCAACCCACAGAGCAGTATTTCATGCCCTTCCAAGTTTTGTAATGTGGGAGACTTCGACTATCTCACTGAACAGCCACTTAGTTTGAGTAGCAAAACTACTTAGTAGAAATATTTGGATATAAAATTTTCTTACTGTATCTAAGGAAAGTAGATCATCTTTGCTTCCACCAAAAACCATGATTTCATTTTCTTTTCCCAAACAAGCTGTGTGCCATAACCTATGATTGAAAATTATAACCAGAGTGAAATTTTAAACAGAATGAAATATTACAAATATCACATACAAATCAATTTTCAATCTACACCCTCTAAAATTTAATTTCTATTTCAAAAGCATCATGATTGAGTTTTGGCATATCCCCTAAAAGGTTAGATTTTAAAGAATATTTATGATCATTAGAGGATTCGATTCTAGAGTTTATTAAAAATCATACCATTTACAAGATGATTTTCAATAACTCTTTCTATTACTTTTCTAACCTCTTTATCATAGAAATAAAATAAATTAAAAGGTAACTTATCAGCCTACTGCTATTTTATTACTATCACAATTTTATTATTACTATCTGCCACATTACAGTTCCCATCCATTTTACTCTTTCTCTCTTTCTATGTCCCCCATCGCCTGATAAATCCAAGCTGGCATCACCTTCATATTCACTTGGTTACATTTTTTATCAATCTGGGTGCAGATGTTATAACATGTTTCTAGTTTTTTCATTTTCTAATCTCTCCCAGCTATTTTTCAAATACTGATATTTGACATGTACATTTCCTGATCAGGAAGCATCTGTGCCATTTTTCCTTAGCCTAATATTTATGATCAGTAGCTATTTGTTTTTCTCATAAATCTTAATTCTTTCCTCTACCCAAATGAACCTTCTATTTTAATCAAGTTCATTTATTTCCATCCCCTAAGAGAAAAGCTTATTATCTATGTCTGGATACTTGCTCTCCCTGTTTCTTATGCTTAAAAAAATAGGTCAGGGCCTCCCTGGTGGAGTCGGTGTTGAAGTGTTAGTGCTATCAAGCTATTGCCAGCCATTGTGGCATGAGTTCGATCCCCAGTCAGGGAGGTGACCCACATGGTACAGCAGACCTCTCCTGATGTACCCCCTGCTCCTCTCAGAAGTGTAATTCAGTAGATCTGCCTGTCCTGCTCCCACTCTGTCTCTGGTGAATCCTCTCATCCCTTACACCTCTAGGCTACACCCCAGTTCTTGTATGCTTAAATAAGTAAAATAAATCTTAAAAAAAAGTAAGTTATTCTCTGAGGGGCCTTAAAAACAAACTTAAAATCTCCAATGGTCCAAATACCCACCCAAAATGATTTTACTCCCTCTATTAAGTACCTTTCAACTTCTATGTTCTTATTTTATAATCTAACTTCATTTGGAGATAAGCTGCTCTACACACAGCTTTGATGTGTGGGTCTCTTAACTCCCAACAAAGACTCTTAGGTCCCAGAGGTCAAAAATTGCTCCTGTTGAGTGTTGAACTTGCTAGATAATCAACCACCCTCCAGTTCTTTATTCAGTGAATCACACCAGTAGCTTGAAATTGGCCATAATGTGAATCAGTGACTGCTACTTCTTAAAAAAACCTAGTATGGTATTTAACCTCTAGTAGGTGCTCAAAAACTTCCAATTAATGAAAGCAAAACCATATACAAACATAATTTATTCAGTGATTAAATGAACACATTATTTTTTGAAGGGCTAGAAAATTTAATGTTCTTTTGTAAATGGTCTGATAGCTCATATCCATCTCTAATTTCACACTATTTATCAAGAATAATTCATGGTTTTATAAATATTCAGTATCTCTGTGATTCTAACCATCAAAAGAAGTACACATAAATGTCTTAATTTTAGAGGCCAAATCCAGGATTTTTAGGGTCATTACTTTGACTCAATAGACCAAATTGCTAGAGCAACAGATAATGCAATCGATATATATTATCATCTATTTTATTATTATAACTTGTTTTTTAGTACATTAATATTTTCTACTTAACTTCCGCAAGTGCAAACAATGGAATAATGCACAATTTCTTAAATCAAGTACTTTCCTCAAACAATCATGAACATATTCAATGACCAATGTACTTAATATACAGGAGAGAAGTGAGTCATTAGAGATTTTGTTTGAGGAATACTCTGCCCAATTCTCCAACTTTACATGTTAGAATATAATTTAACATAAATCTTCAGCAAAACTCACATATATTGTGGGGTTAGGGTAGGAGACTGGAAGAGGGATTGGGAAAAGGAGGTAGAATAGATAAATGTTCTCATCAATGGGAAGAAATAGTTTTATTTCTTAGAAGGAAGGTCATGAACCTTGGCAAGTCTCATGGGATCCAATCATGGGAACTATCAATACCATACTGAGCATCTTTTATAGACACATCAGAAAGGGAGCTTGCTGTCAGCCACTTATGCAGGCCATCAAATTTGGCTATATAGGTGGCTTTTCACTCAAGCTTATTTTTATCTAAGATGAGACATGGAAAAGAGAGTGGCACACTGTGATACAGTGGTTCCCAATCAGGTGACTTTTGTCCCCAAGGTGACATTTGACAACACCTGGAGGTATTTTTGATCATCATTAATGCCAAGTCAGGCTGGGGGTAAAGGCCAGAGATGCTGTTAAGTACCATACAATGCACAGGACACCCTAAAAACGAAGATAACTTGGTCTAAAATGTCAATAGTGCCAAGATTGAAAGATTCTGCTTTAGAATTACAAGAGGAGAATTGGGCAGCTTACATTTTAAATTATAAGTTGGAAAAGTTAGCACAAAATGCATTTAGATGTTAAGTAAATTCTCACTTTCATAAAAAAATTAGTATAGATACAGATACATATTCTCCTTACACTAAACTGTATCCCACCTGTTCTCCTCCTCACCTCATACCTGAAGATAGATCTGCCTCGTATTATCTGCCTTAGGGAAACTCTGGCCTGGACTTCATCATCGAAGAACACTGGAAAGCCTTTCCTGCCTTGATTTTGGTGACATCTAGCTTGCAACCTGATGTTTTTCTACAGACTGATAGTGTATGTCCTCTCACAGCTGCTCTAAACTTATCACCTAAACATGCTAATAAAGCATATTATTTACATGACATCAGCTGAATTCAAAGAAATCTCTTACATAGCTCAGTTCTAACTAGTACATTATTGATAATAGTTGTGTTGCTTTAATTACTTATTAAGGATTGAAACATAAAATAGGAGTATTAAAAATCAAGCATTCTTACTATCACTTTGGTCTATAATTAATGCAGATATACAAACAACTAGAAAAGAAAGAAGACCTTATCTAGTCCAATTCCTTCATTTCACAGATAAAGAAACTAACACTCAGTTTCTTTCAGTGCATTGCCCAAAGCCAAAGAGCTTAAATAGTAGCTGAGAAAGAACTTCAACTCTGTGCTTCTATATCTTAATACAAAATTTTTTCAATTAGGAAGTAAAGTAATAGTAAAATTTCAAAGGACCCAGAATTGCTAAAATAATATATTTCAATGAATTTTTTTATATATGAAAATATAAGAATCACAAAAGTAATTAGGATAAATTCTACATACTTGTTTATATTAATATAGACACACACACTGAGATATCTGTAAACATATAAATATCTTCAGACTTTATTCTGAAATAAGTTCATTATAATATATCAAGTTACTAAGACGCATATCTTTAAGTTGATTTCACACTAGTATAAATAAGTTCAAGTAAAAAAAGTCCTGAAATACATGATAGAAAGAGAAAATCTACTAGCAACACAACAACTATAATGTACTGAACTTGAATTTCCTAGGGGTAGATGTTTATTATACTACTCAATGAAATTAGAAAAGGAATTATAATATAAATATGGCTTTTTTTGCAGTTTAATAGAAACAATAATAGTATATTGTTTTTCTAATTTTTTCATTCTATAGGGACCATAATTAATAAGTGATTTCTTTTTCAAAATTCACATCAATGACTATATCATACAGAGTAAAGAAAACTAAAAATCCACCGCTTACTTGATCAACATAAAAACAATTTCGTAATCTAATTGCTCTATAACTCTTTAAAAAACAAGTAATTACTACTATAAGCAATCCTATTCTTATCTTCTAATTAGATATAATATTGCATGAAGCTTTCAATTGCTTAGTTTTTTCATGTTTATCAGGCAAAATTATGCTTCTACTCAAAAGAATGACATTTTCAAATACATTAATATGATTGGAAGCTGAATAGATCATGTCTAACAATCATTTATAATTAAAATGGATAAATTATAGATAGATAAATTATTTCTATAACATCATGCTTTATTTTAAATATTTCCTTCCTGGCAAACACTAAAAACCCAGTGATGTATTTTAAAAATTCTTAACTATTTTACTACTTATCAACTTCTAGACTTACCTGGGTTTTGTTTTAGGCAAATGTGTAAGCTGCTTCCAACAATTAGTTGTGATATCATGAATCCAACCATCGCCTGCAATATTGTTAACAGTTTAGAAGTGAAAATTTGGTCTTTGGGAAGTATTTTACAAGTTAAACATGCCTCACTTAAAAGACTACCTTTTGTATGTGTACAAGTTTTCTAAAAATTGTTTTTACAGACATTCAGAAATAGAGTGAAAATGACATTCTATTCTCTTAAGAAAATACCTGCACTTAGTATTAAAAAAGATTGATTTGACTGACCCTATTTTAATGGCTATTTTATTTTTTCTTCATTATCCCAAGATATATACCATAATCAATGACTGTTAAAATTTTGCCTTATGTGCTCCAATTACTACTGGTTGTTCCTGCTGCTGAATTATTCTAACACAGATCTTAGATCACACACCAATTCCTATATATGTATTTCAACATTGCAAAAACCACAAAATGTTTTGCATAACCACAGAACTGAATAGCACAGTCAACAAAACTGAAACTAATTTCTTGGTAGCATTTATAAGACCTATAAGACCATATTTTAAGTAGAATTTTTAAGGGAGAAAACTGGACTGAGTTAAAACATTTAATTTCCCCTAGTCAATGACCAAAACAGCAATAGGAATAAAAAACACTAGATCTCATGAAAATGTGAAATTAAGCAACCTTTTGTGTAACAAATAGATGCTAGGATTTTTTTTTTTAATTAGAGTCTCTATGTTAAAAAAAAAAAAGGTCTTTCTCCAAGTCTCTCTTAATTAAAAACTGCAGAAGCATAATAATACGTAATAACTGACATCCCCTGCTAGGAGTTGCTGCTTCCACAACCAGCCTCTGGAGTTAGTTTCTTGGTCAGCAGTCTGCCAGACATAGCAGGTGCTCAGTAAGCATAAGCATCTGGACCAAAGTTAAGAGGACACCAAATCACAGGACGTTAAAGTTGAAAGAGGCTTTAATTCATTTAGGTTCAACTACTCTTATTTTCAGTTTCTACCTAGGAAAAAGGAGAACATGGAGATCCCAGGGTAATAACAAAGGAGTCTTCTACTGCCAAGTCTTAACACAAATATGTAGTGGGAGAGGAAGGCAAACCAGAAAATCAGGGAGGTGGCGGAGGGGGGTGGGGAATGACATTAAATATCAAATATAATTAATAAAATGATTAAGAGAATGACTGTAGGCTAATGTTCAGTTGACTTACTTAAGGGAATATTGTCTGCACTTAGTCCCCCAAATAAGAAAAGCTTATCATCAGCTATTGGTGTCAAAGTATGCCATGACCGATGTTTGGGATTTTCTCCATTAATAGGAATCCTGTGGCAAGGGAAAAACATAAAAAGCTAGACACTGTGTTAGTTAAAATAAAAGGTTATTGATCATCTCAGATACTAGAGGGAAAAAGTCTGATGTACTACATTAAAATGACTGATTTAATAATCCTGCCTGAGTATATTTTTTCCATTAATCCAAAAATATATACATATTTTTAAAAACATTCTTAATAATTAGATGAATTTCAACAATTTATTCCCATTTAATGTTAATTCTTCCTGGCTCTAAAGCATAAACTGAAAATTGAAAAGTCAATTCCCAGTTAATTCACAAAATATGCTCAGTGTCATTCTTGTTGATTAATAAGTAAAACATTCTCAGGTTTTCAACACAATTACTATTCTTCTTTTGTTTTCACCTATTTTTTCGAAGAATATTATGGGATTTTGTGTTGTATTTACTTTGATCTATTTGTTGTAGAATTTTCCGAAGAACCATCGTCACCTGAAAATCTAGTTATTTTAACCTCATAAAAGTTAATAAAAGCATGCAAACCAAAAGATTTGACAAAATATTTTTGAAAAGGAAAATTCTCCTATAATTCTGTTCTCCAGTAGTAAGAAGGGATAATAACTTGTTATATACCTTTTCCAACTGTAATTCACAAATAAATATATAAAATTAGAATATATAAATGGGATCATATATTTTGTTCCATAACTTTCTTTCAATATGTAGTAGAATATTTCTAAGAAGTTTAGTTTCCTTTGGTATTGAAGTCCACTAGGATAATAATTTAAACAATCTTGTGACATGAGGGGTAGAGCTTGAGTTTTTACTTTTATATGAAATATTGTATACGCACACACATGCAAGCATGCACACATACGTAAACACACACACACACAGAAATGCCTATAGATTAAAACGTACTTAAATTTTGACTTACCTTCCAGACCAAGTCCAGGTATCTAAGTTTAGATAGTGCAAATCATTCATCCTAGTTTGCTAAAATAAAAGTATATTAAATTGGTCAGTGCTTTACAATTTTTATGGGCTAAAGTTTCAGTTTTTAAAGTAAGTTCAGATTAAAAATAGACTATCTCTATTTTACTTAATATCAAAAGTTTATATATTGGAAAACAATGCTAAACATTAATAAAATCAATAGAGCTAGCAAATTTAGGTGACAAGAAGGAAAGGAAGAAAGAAATGAATTTAAAGAAGGGTTAGATGATAAATTAAACTTTACTGGTAACACACTAAAGTGAAGGGATTTCCTCATTATTACATGATTGATAATCATAATCACCTGTAATTACTCATGTACGGTCTGTTTGGGGAATATAAAACACGTAAAAGCCATTACAGAAAGACATTTTCATCACCAGATTATCTGAATGTTCAGTTGTTCCATAAAAGCAGAGGACAAACTTTATCTGAAACATCACACATAGAAGTATTACTTCCATTAAAAACACTAACCAAGACACGTCCGCCAAAGACATAGCCCTTATTTCCAAGAATCGCACATGTATGCGCTGCTCGTGGCTGTGGCGGAACTCCACCCTATAAGCAAAGATCAGAAAAGAGAGTGCAGATTTGAAACACATGTAATCAAGGTGCGCTCACTCACTCAGAGTGAGAAGTACTTCCCTGTTAAATTACCTATGCAATTCAATTAAATGCAAAAGTAACACAAAACTTCATTCTAAATAGTAAGTTCTGGACAAATACTGCTCTTATTTCACTAATAATAGACACACATTCAATTGAGAAGTGTGCATGACTGATAATTAACCAAATACAAAATAAGAAAGGGAGGTATCCCTGGTAGCACAGGGATTAAAGTATCAGCTCTACAAGCTAAGCCAGTCACTGCAGCCTGCATTCAGTGCCTGGCCAGGGAGCTAACAGCAGACCTCTCCTACTGCCTGCTGCTCCCCTCAGCAGTGTACATCCTAATCTGCCTATTCTGCTGCCCATTCTGTCTCTGGTGAATCCTCTCACTCTCCACACCTCTGGCCTACACCCCAGTTTTTATATGCATAAGTAAATAAAAATAAATCTTAAAAAAAAAAAGAGGGCCCTCCCTCGTGGCGCAGTGGGTTAAAGCACAGCACTAAAAAGCTAAAGCCCTTCCTGCATGAGTTCCATCCCCACCTGCCCCTGCCCTGAAGGTGACCCACATGGGTGGCAGACCTCTCCTGACCCGCCCACTGCTCCCCTCAGCAGTGTACTTCATCAGTCGACCTGTTCTGCTGTCCAATCTGTCTCTGGTGAATCCTCTTACCACACCTGTAACTCTGGCCTGTACCCAGGTTCTATATGAATAAATAAATAAAATCTTAAAAAAAAAACAGAATAAAGAAAACAGAGGAGCACTGGATACCTAAAATTCACTACTTGAAAAAAGGGAGCACCGAGAAGGGTCAAACTGAGGACATCGTTTTGCAGAGAATCTCCATCATTTCCATCAATAGAAGTTAGACTGCAAGAAATTTTAGTCAGGTATGCCAATTGGTTTTTCCTATTCAGCATTCCATTCTGCCTAATTCTGGTGAGTTTCTCAATCATAACACCTTGCTCCTCTGAGCTCAGGCCTAGCCAACTACCCCCTTGGTGGCAGGGATGGGAAATGGCCCAGGTAGCGCCTGAATTCTTGTGTAGGACTGATACATATTGACAATATATAGCACAACAGAAGCAGTGGTTTGTGTGGCCAGGGTCATGTGCCTTCCTGAATGAGTGAGCCAGTCTACAGCAGACAGAATGAAGTTAGAACACAGGGAGGGGCGAGGACAGCTGCCAAACAGAGCTGGACTGTAATGCGATGGCACTGAGTGACTTGCTCTAATTCCCCAGACCCTGCTCTCTATAGCCTTTTCTTCTATTCTGCACTCTATAGCCTTTTCTTCTGTTCTATTCTGTACGAGATGTGGGTATGTGAGAATTCACTGTTGTTGTAACTAATTGCAATTTTTGTTCATTAGCAGGTGCAAGAGTATTGATAATATACTACTAAAGTTTGCTAACAATGTATTTCTGTCACGCTATAATTGTATGTAGCTCTGACTGCAAGGAATTTTGAAACATGGGTTGAAATCAGCAAATTTATTATGAAATAATATTATGAAAGAACCTTCATTAAATCCAAGTGCCACACTGGTGGATAAATAATGATGATGGCTTCTCTTTAGAAGAATTTTCTAGAGAAACCATAGCTAATTTGGAGAAAAGTATGTGATTAGAAAATTGTATTAGTGACAATACTAAGCACAACACCTTTGCGTGTGATTACAAACTCAATCATCCAAATTCAAAAACCTTAGCAAAAAAATAGATTTCAAAAGTGTCAACGAGGCCCTCTCTGGTGGCACAGCGGGTTAAAAAGCACAGCACTAAGAAGCTAAAGCCATTTCAGCATGATTCGAACCACGGCCACCACTGAGGTGACCACATGGCGCGCAGACCTCTCCTGACCCTCCCGCTGCTCCCCTCAGCAGTGTACTTCATTGATCTACTTGTTCTGCTCCCCACTCTGTCTCTGGTGAATAGTCTCACTGCCCCTGAGCCTCTAGCCTGTACCCCAGTTCTGTATGCATAAATAAATAAATCTTTTTTTAAAAAGTATCAATGAATACATGAATATAAAGGAAATTTTTTACAATACTTACTTTAATTTCTGGTTGAAACCAAGTCTGTGTTTTTGTGTCAAATATGTGAACATCATTATGCCATCCCCAGAATATCTGCTCTTCCTAAAACAGAAAATTTAAAAATGTTTAAAAACCTTCCTAATTTTTAGATTATTGTTATAGTGTCATTGCATATCTGCTGATGAAGAAGTGGACACCTTTATAAAACAGTCATAACACTAATGCCTACTATCAGTGGCTTCTGACAATGACAGCCCAGATCAGGAGCAGCAGAGCTATCTGTAACTTTTCTTCTTATAGTAATGCTTGCAGTCATCATTTTACTTGTTGACAATCTTTCCATTCTCTCAAAGAGAACTGAAATTTTCTCTCAAAAATCTTCTCTTTTGAAATTACAGAGGACAGGATATTTACATTTTGAAATCAGTATTCCTAAGTATATGCTCAGAATTCCTAGTCTGTGCTATTAGAAATCTTAAGAGACTGTGACTCCTTTCTCCAAATAGTTTCCCATCACTTCTTAATCAAACAATGTATTCTTATGGGTCAAACTTATGTTCACTCTATTTTCACTGTACTATTTTGTCATTGTTTGTTTATTTATATTTTTACATCATTGTTCATTTTTATACATTTGATTTCTCTCAGGTGCTGTTCCCATAAAATTACTACCACCAAGATACCCATGAACCATCACCATAGATTCTTACGATTTTCCCTCCTCCTGTTTTGATCCCTTTCTTTCCCCTTCCCCATGACTGTTATTGATTTACAGTTTGCCTGCTAGTTTTGCTTTCCCCCCTAATCCTTTGTATGATTTCCCTATGTTCCTCATACGTAAGTGAAACCTTTTGAATTATTTCCCTGAGCATACTCCCTTCCAGTTCCATCCATGTTGCTGTAAATGGAAAAGTTTATTTTTTGACTGCTGAATAGTATTCCATTGTGTGCATCTACCACATTTTCTTGATCTAGCCATCTATTTTGGAGCATAGGCTGTTTCCATATTTTAGCTATTGTAAATAGTACTGCATGAACATAGGAGTATAAAGATCTTTTGAATTTTAATGTTTTTGTGTCCTTTGGGTAGATTCCTAGAGGTGGAATCACTGGGTCATATGGTAGGTCCATTTTAGTAATTTGAGGGTCCTCCATGTGGGTTCCAATAATGGTTGGACCAGTTTGCATTTGCACCAACAATGTAACAGGGTTCCTTTTTCTCCATAACCTCACCTACACTCGCCGATGTTGGATTTTATCGATTTATTTTTTTGGCATAGAAGAACTGGGGTGTAGGCCAGGATTCACCAGAGACAAAGTGGGGAGCAGGAACAGGTAAATTACTGGAATACACTGCTAAGGGAACAGCGGGAGAGTCAGGAGAGGTCTGCTGCACCATATGTAGGTCAGCTCCCCAGCCAGAGATCAAACTCAGGCAGTATCAGTGATTGCACTAAGACTTCACCCCTGGCCATCTGGAAGGCCCTCTTCTTTATTTCCTAAGAGTCAAGACTGTCAGCAAGGCAGATTGAGTAGTTACATTGATTTGGCATCTTCCAGGTAGTTAACATTCACTACCACTGTTCTAGCTTACCTCTGTCCCAGTTTTATGTTCTATGACATAAATATATCACTCATTTTTGTCAGGACTTGTCAAGTAAATTTATTTACTTTGTTAGGAATCAAAACTAAAAATTTTACTTGTACATCAGGAACTTCAGGATTTATTTATTAGCCTAGTTGTACTAGGAGAGAAAAAAAATGAGAAATTTTATTGATAAGAATTTGATATAAATAATAGAAAGCTATATTTCTTAAAATTATCAGTAGTACTGTAAATAGCAAAGTTTTAAAGATACTTCATTTAAAAAACTCAAAACCATGTAAGTACATGGAAAAATTTTAAAATATCATACATCCAAGAGATATACATGAAATGTACATGTCTATTTCCATTAATAATGTATAATAATAATGTTAATAGAGGTAAACTTGAAAAGAGTTACTGTGCTTTTTGGTGGTGGGATTAATGATTTTTTAAGTTATCTTTTAAAATATTTCATTTTCATGTCATGACTTCTTTCATTAATAATAGTTTATTCTCTAACCAGTAAGGATAAGTAGGAAAGATAATATCACCATTGACTTACTGAAATAATGAACAGTCTTTGTTATCATAGGTCTGATGGATGTATCTAAAGGGAGATATATGTCAGGACTAACCATGGTGGTTACCTACGAACAATGTTTCTAAAAACTGCTGAAGTTTCTACTTGTTTAATAGAAGCAGGTGTAAGTGATAAATTGTGTAAAAGAAATTTGCCATTAGCCATGAAGGCTAGTAGCAAGGAGTAAGAGAAACCTCTCTAACTGAATCTAAATTGAAATGACAGAAAACACATTTTTTCATAGAGTCAATTATGGCAAATGAAAGCAAGAAAGATTTGGTTAATTATTTTCAATTACTTTTAGGCAATACCAAAATAGAGGAAAATGAAACAGTGTTAACTCCTTTACCCAAGATGCGTCATGAACATCAAAACAGTCTTGAAGTTCATTGTGTCTCCTACAGCCATAACCACCAAAATAAATTAATCTGAAAAACAAATACAAAAAGACACATGTTAGGAATTCTACTACTAGTTTGCTCACAGAAAGCTAAAAGAGATCATTTCTTTTGCCTTAACATATTTGCAAAACAAAAAGCAAAGGGCTAAGGTAATAAAGAGACCTAAATGAACTAATTTCAGAAAGTGATGCTCTCCTCATAGGAGAGAAGAGAATGGTGGTTGTTTCATCACAGACACACAGCAGGGGGAGAAGAATCCAGCACAGAGAAGGTTCATTAAAAAAACAACCCAAAGGCCCTCCCTGGTGGCGCAGCGGGTTAAAGCACAGCATTGAGAATCTAAAGCCGCCTCCGCATGAGTTCGATTCCCACCTGCCCCGGAGGTGACCACATGGTGTGGCAGACCTCTCCTGACCGGCCCGCTGCTCCCCTCAGCAGTGTACTTCGTCTATCTGCCTGTTCTGTTCCCCACTCTGTCTCTGGTGAAGCCTCTCACCGCCCCTGAGCCTCTGGCCTGTACCCCACTTCTGTATGCACAAATAAATAAATCTTTAAGAAAAAAAATAAAATAAAAAAACAACCCAAAGTTGAACAGCCACAGATGAGGAGCATGACAAATTAGAATTCTGAAAAACAGCCACTGAATAAATCTTTTGCATGGTCTTCAGGGAGGGTTCACAGTCAGTCACCAACAGCTAGATGCAAAAGAGAACAGACCTCTCTGAGACAATCTGAGCTTTCAACTACTGAAGTATGGGGCTGCTGCAGGAAATCTGAAAGAATACCTGAGTCCTTAAGCATATAGGACAGATGCCATGGAAAGGTCAAGGGAGAGGGTGGGCGGTAACACCTGGGCTATGGGATTTTTAAAAGATTCCTAGATGACTCCAACGCCACACAAATTAGGTAACCATTGCTGTAAAAATAGAAAATATTAATAAAAGTAGCTATTTGTTCATGGGAGAGATGGGGGCAAGGAGTGGCAGCCAGACATTTCATTGCATGTTTTTAATACGGCTTTAATTTTTGAACCATGAAAACATACTAACCTAGTCTTAAAAAATTAATAATAAACTGAATACTTAAAAAAAAGCAAATTGTTGCCCCTGTCATGCTTATTTTTATGAAAATGGCTCTATTCCAGTGTTCAGTATTATCAGTGTCAAAGCGCTTCCAATGATAGCTTGAAAATAGTTAGATCTTCAAGTTTTCTCAATTTGGCCACCAGCTGTAATCTTCTCTAATGAGACAGTTATGCTGCGTTACCTGTCTTTATATACCCAGCAGGAAAGTTTATCACGTGGTGTGGGTGGTTGTCCTTCGAAGTTGGTGATTTTTTCCCAAACGTAGGTGCCGTCCCTTGTTCGCAGATTTACGAAATACAGCTTTCAAAAGAGGAAAGCGTGTTTAGCAAGCAGAGTATCTGAAGATTAAATCTATAGTGGAGGGATCTGTGATCCAACAAATTCTGCTACAACGTTTTTCTCTTTAAGGGTAAAATTTTAATTATAGAGTTAGTAAAAACTAGACTAAGTTTAGAAACAAAAATAATATATCTAACATAGCCCCCCATCATGCTCTTGCTCTGTGGGTACCAGCTAAGTGTGCTTGATTCTGCAGCACAAGGAGAGCGAGATGAGCAAAACTGCTACATTTTCACTCTGTCTTTAAAACTGTTTGATCTGGCACTCCCTGGTGGCACAATGGGTTAAAATAATAACTATGAAGCTGTCACAGCCAATGCAGCATGAGTTTAATCCCTGGCCCCAGAGGTGACCCACATGGCACAGTAGACCTCTCCTGACCCAGTCACTGCTCCTCTCAGCAGTGTACTTCCTAAATGTTTCTGTTCAGTCTTGCTCCCCACTCTGTCTCTGGTGAATCCTCTTACCCCCCCACACCCCTACCCACACATACTTCTGACCTATACTCCAGCTCTGTATGCATAAATAAATAAATCTTAAAAGAAAACTATACGAGGCCCTCCCTGGTGGCACAGCGGGTTAAAGCACAGCACTGAGAATCTAAAGCCACTTCAGCATGAGTTCAATTCCCGCCTGCCCTGCAAGTGACCACATGGCGTGGCAGGCCTCTCCTGACCCGTCCGATGCTCCCCTCAGCAGTGTACTTCGTCGATCTGCCTGTTCTGATCCCCGCTCTGTCTCTGGTGAAGCCTCTCACCACCCCTGAGCCTCTGGCCTGTACCCCACTTCTGTATGCACAAATAAATAAATCTTAAAAAAAAAGTAATTAAAAAATTATATGATCATAATAAGCATCTTCCACATATAGGTTCTTTTTACAGTAGTGGTAAACTCAGTAGATGAAGTGACACATTAAATATTACATTTTGCTGTAACCCTGAATTGAAAGAAAATATTACTCGATTGCTGTATCCTTTGTCATCATATCCTCCAAAAACATAGAATTTTCCATGGATGCAGGCACCGCAACTTCCTGACATGGAGGTAGGGAGTTCTCCTTCCATTAGGTGCATTGTCCTGCATAAGAATAACATAGAATTCCATAACTTTCCAGAAAGGCAATTACAACTCTCTTTGAACTCCATGTACTTTTTCAGTGATTGTTATTTCTCAGTAAATTGTTACTAAAAATTGCAATGGAAATGTATGATAACCACTATTACAAAACTCTAAGAAGATCCATGGTTAAGATTTTTCAATCTACTGGAAAAAATTTACAAAGTCTTCACATGTCATCAAAATTGGGATATAATTAGTAGAATAAAACAAAGTTTTCAGACACGCCATTGTTTTGAGAGGAATGGTCAAGAATAAAGACTGGAGAAAGGAAGGGACAGGGGACAGAAAGAGTCAGAAAGAATGAAGCACTGAAAGAAAAAGGAGAACAATAAATGTTGTGGCATGTTCTAAGCATGGTCTTAAATTCTCTGTAGTCTCTGAAAATATTGATAACATTGTGTAATTTAAAATTACTTACCACAACCCACTATCAACATCATAGGTCCAAATTTCATCATTGGGCAAATATACTTCATTGTCTTCAATAGACTAAAAACAGAGAATACATAAAATTACATTGATTAATTACATAATAACAAATTACTCCTTAGGAAGATAAAAGTACAACACAAATACTATGAAACACAAAATCAGGGCCTCCCTGGTGGCACAGGGCTTAGGGTCTCAGCGCTATCAGGCTAGGCTATTTGCCAGTCACTGTAGCACCGGCTCTATGCTCAGCCAGGGAGCTGACCCACATGTTCAGTGACTTCTCCTGTCTCACCCACTGCTCCCCTCAGCAGTGTATTTCACAGGACCCACCTGTCCTGCTCCCCACTCTGTTTGTGGCGAATCCTTGCACATCCCTCCCACCTCTGGCCTACACTCCAGTACACCCCGTATATGCATACATAAATAAAAAAGAATCTAAAAATCCCACAAAATCATACACTGGCTCAAAGATGGTTTTTTAAATACAAATTAAGATAGATAAAAAGATTAAAAGGGAAGACATTTTCTAACAGAAAGTCCACAAACACTAAAGGCTTATAACACAAAGTATGTAAGAACATGAGTCTCAAGAAAAAGGCTGGGTGGGCCCTCCCTGGTGGCACAATAGGTTAAAGCACAAACTATGAAGCTACCACAGCCACCGCAGCATGAGTTCAATCCCCGGCCAGGGAGGTGACCCACATGGCGTGGCAGACCTCTCCTGACCTGCCCACTCCTCCCCTCAGCAGTGTAACTCAGTGCATCTGCCTGTTCTGCTCCCCACTCTGTCTCTGGTGAATCCTCTCACTCCACCCCCCTGTCCTGCACCTCTGGGCAATTGAGACTTAGAAAGAGATTATGAGGAAAGGAAAATAGTAAAATAATAATCTTTGCAGCAGACTATTTAAGTCTATAAAGCCAAGAAGAAAAGGAATATGAAAGAGGGCATTGTGTTTGGGTGAAGGAGAAGGAATTAAGGAAGGAACTATTTTAAAGTTGTAATTAAGAGCCCTGTATTAGATACCATATTAACATAAATTATTTTTTATGTGCCTGCTATAGGTGAGGCAAAGTGTTAGGTGTTCATTAAATATACAATCTAAGGCAAGATAAATTTATTTATTTTTAATTTATTTTATTTATGCACACAAAAACTGTGGTGTAGGCAAGGTGGAGGGTGGGTTTAGATCTCTGTCTGGAAATTCAACTCAGGCCATACTGGTGATAGCACTGAGACTGAACCCCTAGACTACCAGGGAGGCCCTTCCATTCAGACATTTATAATGAAAAGAGAAATAAGAACAACAATCTTCTTTTAATTTAAGTTAAAAGTACATAAGGATTAAAAGAGCTTATATAAATCTGTCATTTCCTAGAGTCTATGTATTTCCAAAGTCTTAAAAGAGATTAAGAATTTATAATCTTGTATATAGTAAATTATTAACACAACATACAGAGTTAGCTAACTTTCTTACAGCAATGTTAGAAGTCTAAAACACCTTGACTATCAGGCAAGTCTCTTCCTTGCAGCCCCACCAATCTAAGTAGAAAACCATTCTTTTAGCTGCAAGGAAACATTTGCTTGTCTGACTGAGAAAGTTATATCAGATGTCTAAGTAAACAGACAAGAATAAGGGTAGTTAATTGCATAATTCTTAGGTTTAGTGGCATCATGCTTCAGTGTAGAAACTGAAGCCCTTGTGTGAAACCTTTAGAACAGAAGTATTGTGCAACTTAAGTCCTTTCAGTGGTTCCCAGTGTTACCAAGTTTCTGATTTGTGATACATGGTACCTGCTACCTCCCCAAAGTTCATCTTGCCTTTTACTCATTGTGCTTCATTCAGTCTCTTTTCAGCTCCATAACCTCTACAGTAGGGCCTCCATCTTGCAATAAGGGTTTTCATCTATACTCATCTCTCTTCTTGACAACTTCTGCAAGAATTTCAAGAACTAACAGCAAAATAAACCCATAAAAAGTAGGATGAATTAAAAAGGACCAGATATTATTGAAGTGGAAAAAAAAATACAACACGGAAGCTCAAGTAAACCAAAACTTGGTGTTGCAGAAGGCGCAGATGAAAACTCTGGGAAGAATACTGGGGACCTAGGAGACGGAAACAGCTTTAGGAATGAGGCAAGGGGAACATACCTATAGACAGATAGAGATTACATAGAGAGTATTGTGAACAACTTAAGTGGACACCAATAATGTTAAACACTTAAATGGGATGGGTAGACTCCTGGGAATGAAGGTGAGGGTCAGAGAATCTTATGAGCTTGATTCAAGAAAAAAAATGGAAATTGTGAACAATTACATAGGTTTAAGTAGATTGAATCAGAGATTTAAAACCTCCCCCACAAAGTTAGCATCAGGCTGGATGGCTTTACATTTGAGTTTGCTCAAAGAATAAATAAATCAATTTTACAAGGACTATTACAGGATTAAAAAAAAAGGAATTCTAGCCAACCTACTTATGAACACAGTTGATGGACTTCTTAAAAGAATCAGCAAATAGGATGCAGCATTGAATAAAAAGGCATTACATTATACTAACTTATGTTTAATCTAAAGAAAGCAACATTGGTTTAATATTACAAAGCTACTAGTATTAGTTATTACATTAAGAGATTACAGGAAAAAATTACTATGTAGTGATTATTTACTAGATTCTAGAAAATTATTATATAGTGGTGCAGAAGAATTATTCTCCAAAATTCAATATCCTTTTATTGAAAATCAGATAAAAGAAAACCTCCTTTAATTTGAAAGAGGCCATCTATAGCCAAACAAAACTCTAAGGCAAACATCAAACTTAATGCTTAATGTTAAAACAATTTCTCTGAAATAAAATAAGAAAAGTAGCTTCTATTTAACATTGTACTTCAGGTCTATCAGCACAGTGTAGAAAAGCAAATAAAAAGGAATAAAGATTAAGATGAAAGAAACACAATTGTCACCATTTACATATTATGTGACTACCTACATAGAAAACAAAAAGGAGATTAACAGCTGATTTTGAGAATGTACTTGAGAAAACTTGCCAGAATTAAAGCTACTTAAAAATCAATTATACTTCAAAATACCAGCAACAATCAGGACATTTAATTTTTATAATTAATTAACAGACATCAAAAAATCCTGAACACAAAGATATACCACATACGTGGATTAGAAAACAATTGCATAATGTCTATCACCACCAAGTGACCTAAAGTAAATCTAGCAGCATGAAATGTCAACAGGGAATTTAACAATCTGCTTCAAAAAAATTATACAAGTGATGAAGTACAGAGGAAAATAATTTGGCACTTCTTTTTAAAAATTAGTTTAGAATAACTGTATGATCCAGCAATTCCTTTCCTAGGTACCCAAAAGAACTGGAAATAGGTACTTAGATACTTGTATACAATATTCACAGTAGCATTATTCACAGTAGATAAAACAGGTGGCAATGACCCCCTGTCCCAGGGACAATGGTGGCCTGAACAAGATGGTGTATGCAGACCATGTGGTACTACTCAGTCTTTGAAAAGAATGAGTTCTGATTCTGATACATAGGACAAAAGGATAAAGCTTGAAAGCATACTACATGAAATAAGCAAGATCAAAAAGACAAATATTGTACGATTCCATGTAAACAGGCAAATTCACAAAGATAGAAAGGGGATTAGAAGTTATCAGGGACTGAAGTTGGGAGGGGTTTTCTTACGTGGTAGAAACTGAGTTTCTGGTTGGAGTAATGAGTTTTAGAACTGCAGAACACCACACTACATTGTGAATGTAATTGTCACTGAATTGAGTTGTACACTAAGCTAAGGTTAAAGTGACACATTATGTATTATGTATTAAATATTTTATAATTTAAAAAGTATGTGTTAAATATTTCCTAACATATACAAAAGAACAAAAGGCTCTAAATAACCAAAATATTCCTGAATAACAAAAACAAGATCGAGTGGGGATGGAACTTTTACTTCTAACAAAGCTTTAATTTAAATAATGTGGTTTTGTCACAAGAATTAGAATGATGACCCTAGAAATAAATTACCTATACATGAAAAACTGATGTGTGACACACTGGGTTTTCATGTTGGTGGGGAAAGGTGGAACTATTAAACATATGACACAGGGCAAGATTTTCTTCAGGCTGAAAAGATGATGAACTTGTGTCCTTATCTTTTACCAACCAAACAAAATATTAAGATTAAAAAAAATACTTAAACATGGACAGCAAAGCTGGAAGTTATTTGGAAGACATTTTTATCTTCACACTGGGAAAAATTCCTTAAATAAGATGTGGGAATATAAAGCATTAATGAAAAGAGAGAAATTACATGAAAGTTAAGAACATCTGATGAGCGAAAGTTAATCAAGAAAGCAAAAAAGACAAGCCACAAACTGAGAAGACATACTCAACTCATACAAATTGTACATTTAAAGGCTTCTTATTAAAAAAAAACAAAGACTTCTATATGCCAGTAAGCAACTCCAATAGACAAGAGCAGAAGACATAAACCAGAATTTGTACATAAGAGGAAACACAAATAATTCATAAAGCCATGAAGAGACATACAACTTTATTTGTAATCAGGGACATGCAAGCAAAAATCACAATGTAATATGTCAGACTTATCAGGCTGGCAGAAAACTTAAGACCAGATGATACAAAATGCTGTATGGATGTGAAACAAGGAAGAAGCTGGTGAGGCATAAAGTGATCCTGATATTTTGACAAGTGACATTTCTAAGTAAAACTGGTGATGTGCATGCCAGCATTCCACTCCTCAGTATACACCCTAGTGAATGGCCGTGCCCTTGTGCATGTACAATTGGAGGCCTTTTGTATGGGCACTCAATGTAGCATTGTTTATGATAACAAAAAGAAAGAATATTCATCGTTAGTGGAATGGATAAATTACAGGAAGTTCATACAATGGAATGTTATCTAAGACACACATAAATGAATGAATCTGGCTGATTTTCAAAATATTTAACAGCTGGGCAACAACAAGCACTACCCAGTCAAAATGGCCAATATAAACATGTACCGGCACACAGCGGAGCACAGGCAGTGTAGGACTCAAAACCGGGATGTTGACTGAAAGAATCAAGTTGTGAAAGAAACATGCTATGATAAAATACCAAATAATGTACATGTGGTAGGACAATAAAGATACATGTCCGATAAGGCAATAAAGAAATCCAGAGAACACTACCCTAGGGGGGTGGGAGGTGCGTGGAACAATGTGATCAGTGAAGTAGACAGGACATTTGTAAGTTGCAAGTTCTGCTCAGTTTCTTAAATCTGGAAGTTAGGACAGATGTTCTTTTATACCGACATTTCAATATAAAGACAATAAAATTTTATGAAATGAATTTTAAGTAGCTTGCAGGATCTGCAGAGAAGCTGGCGGATGGGCCTCTATGGATCCTCTATGTAAGGAGGCTGAAGGCCAGATAGCACACCTCAGAACAGGTCTGCTGAGCTAACTGCTGCAGACAAGGCGAGCAACACACCACTGAGAACCTGGATCATTCTGCACATTCTAATGCTGTCTTTATTCCTGAGTCCAATTCTAGCACAGATTCATCTAACTGACAGAGTCCATGCCATTTGCCACAAACCAGCTGCAAAGGTTGGAACCTGCACTCAGGTTTTTATTGAGTCACTATCCCAGTTCTAAACATTGGGGGTATAATAAGAAACAAAATCTTTATCTTGAGAATGTATATTCTATGAGGTTAGGAAAGAGGTAGCCAGACAACTCAAATAAATACCCCATCAAGTGTTACTCAATTGGGGATACTATAGATAGAGGAAGTAGGGTCAAATGCTGGGCATCCAGAAAGAATGGCAGTGATGGCTTGTGTGTGAGACAGATGGCCTAAGTGACAGCTATGAAGATATGAAGTGTACTGTTAAGTTAAAGAGCAAACATACTTTTAATGAATGGCTAAATTTCTCCTCAAAAAGGTTATGCAAATTCATGACTATTACTAGTCGATGAGTAATTTATCCCCCCATGGATTTCTTAAAAATGCTTAATTTGCCAACTAGAGAAGAAAAACCTCAATGTTATTTTCAACTGGGTTTCTTTCATTCATATTTGTATTTCTTTCATAAATTCCTTATGTATTTACATTACTGTTTCAATATTGATATTTTTATTTCTGTTCACGAGACCTTTGCCTATCGTGTACACTGCAAATACCTTCCTTGGTTTGCCATTTGAGTTCTCGTTTTATGGTGTTTGAAAATCACAGTTCAAAATTTTTTCTTAAGGTTGACCTTTCAATCTTTTCCTTGATAGCTTTTCCTAATTCAGTTTTTCTCTTCCTAGCTCCAAATTTACCAGCCATGTAATTTGTTCTGGTATTATCTAGTTCATTTTTCTGTATTTAACTCTTCAGTCCTAAAACCCCAATATAATTTTCCTCCAGCTATTCCAGAACCACCCAATGAATATGCAGTTGTTTTTCCAGATCTGAAATGGTACCTTTAATACAGTGTAGTCTTATCCATCTTTTTTTCCCCATTCCATTCCAACAAGCTACCTTAAATCCTCATTAAGTGAGTACTGATTTCATTATTACAGGATCATAAAACGTTTTAACATCTGGCACTATGGGCCACCCATGTTCATTCTTTCCAAACATTTTCTAAATTAATCCTTCCTCCTTAAGTACTTATCCATGACAGATATAGGTACACAAGCAGTCATTTTCTAAAAGAAAAAGTTCAGAGCAAAGTTATTTGCATCAGTTTTATGATGGAAATAAAACTGTATATATGATTAAGTCATAAGAAGAAAGCATATCATACTAAGACACTGGACTTTCCTCCAAAATCTGAGAAAATTCATGTTAACTGTTCCTAGTAGCAGTACTCAGGTACGAATTTTAGTAATATCAAAGCATACGTAGCTCAAAGAGCAAAAAAAAAGATATTCTGGTACCAACTAGAATTTACCAATTACTTTTAGGGAGGGCTATTTTCAAATAGAATATCTGATAGAATTCATACAAAAGAGTAATATTTACACAGGTAAATTTGTAGAAATTCAAGTTTCAGGATATAAGATATGTCCATCAGTTTAAATATATATTTTGCGTTTTTGTTAATGAAGAAATTTGTGTTTAGAACATATAACCTGGAATCACTTGATCATATTCTTAACCTCTGGCTACTGGATTAACTCCAGATTCCAGGGGCCTTTTAGCTATCTTGTGTTCAGAAGGGCCTGAATAAAATGAGTCCTGGAAAGACTCTTTTTTGTCCTCCACTCCCCCTTTCCTGCCACTTCTACCTTAGGTGTATTCTTACTGTTAATAATCCCTGAAATTCAAAATGTAGATTAAACCTAAATCTCTGTGGTACTTTCCAGGGTCACTCAGAATCATTCACCCCTGAATCCATCCATAGTAGGGAAATAAGTATTTCTATTCATTTACTACTACAAAGAACAGGAATCTCATCAATTACAAACCTTTCAAGATTCCAAGATGTAAACATGCAGACATTTCATTTATGGATTCAAGAGAAATCTACACTGTCAGTAGATATGGGTTACTACAAATTACTATTTTAAGTGAAACTTTTTAAGCTTAAACAGTATTATGGATAAATACAGCAAATGAAGTTTGACACCTCTATATCTTAAGAGGCAGTGTTCAAAAATCTATCAAAATATCTCTTCTGCACAAAGCCATCATTATACCTAGATTACATTTTCCTCAAGAACTAATGGTGTAATAATGTGGGTCTGCTAATCCTAAACCGCCTATCCCGTCTCCACAGTTCTATATTCTTAAAGAAAGGTCAAAACTGCCTGCTCATAGGAGCCCAACCCTATAAGGTACCTTTCAAATCAAATAAGAACATAAGCCTAGGTCACTCTGAGAAGGGTGTACATCACGAAGCATGACCCGGAACGCCAGAGAGGCTGTATAAGGAAGGACCCCAGAAACTGATGAGTGAAATGCCTATTGATAAGATTGAAATCCTGACTGGGAAGTCAGGGCTGTCTCTACCATAATACCAAACTATCAGCAGATGAGGAATACAGATTCACCTTTTCCCCAGTTTCTACCACTTGTCCCTTTCCTTTTCTACTTCCTCATATCATGAATGCTGTGTGATTAGTTTACCAACAAAAAGTCCAGGATCTTGTTCTTTAGCAGCATCCTGCATTATGTAGCCTGCTCCACGGCTCCTGTCGCTTTATCAGTGTGGTGTTGCCGGATACAACAGTAGTATTAGACAATAAAACATCCAACCAATCTCTGTTCACTTATCATAAACTACACCTTTGGAAATCCAATAGGTCAAAGGTAGAGTGTGCTGCTCTGGAGGTCTAATTTCCATTAAAGTTATTTACACTCATCGACTCATCTTCCTTATTTTAAAAATGAGAGCTTACTGACTTTATAAAATATGGCAAAGATTATATAAAATTAGGGGTATGCCGATTCCTAGCACATACAAGGCACTCAAAGGTTAGTTCTAATTTTTCCATCCTGATACTGCAACAAATTAAAAATAAACACACAAACAAAACAACGAAACCATCTTGGATGTGAGAATCATTTAACATAGATAATATGAACTTTATTTCAGTGATTCAGTCATGTTACATCTGCACGTGAGAGCATCAAGACAGGCAGAAGATGTGGTTCTATTTCCTGCAGAACTTCCGAATGGCTTTCTAAAAAAATCTGTAAACTAAAGGGGGTTGTCATATAGTCCTGAATTATTTTCCATCTTTAGAACCCAGGATTCTATAATCCCGTGATTATAGCAAAACAAATGCTCCCATTCAAACATCCACTGTGATAAGAATTTTTAAGCATAAACTCTTCAGTATACTGTTGCTAATGAGTCTATTTTGAGACTCATATTAAACAGAAAAAAAAATCATACTCATTAGCCAAGAAACGCCACTAAAAATAGCTTCGATATACTTAAATACTTGAGTGACTTCGATAATTGTATTTCGAATCATACCTAAGGTGTAAAGAAATGAATACAAAGTGACAGCAAGGCGTCCTCGGTCTGCACAAGCATTTCAAGAGGACGCTCAATCGCGCAGTAACTGACTTTCGTCCGTGCAGCCAAGGGGTTACAGCTGCGGGCAGTCAGGGGTAGGTGCTGAGAGTGGAAGAGCCCCGCACCCGGATTTGAAAGCGGTACGAAAGGAAGCAACCGCGGGGCGGCGACAAGCCCAGCCGGGGCTGGAAGCGCGGCGGACGGCGGAGGGGCTGG